ATCTGAATAAATTACTGTTAGGTTCCACATGCAGTGTAGTGGGTGGTGCAAGATAGTGGAGGACACCTATTTCCCCGTCTGTAAAAATGAGCATCTTTGTTTGCGACTCAGATTTATGTGTGAGTAACAGCTCAGTCCTTGCTCAGTACTGAGACCTGTTTGTGTCCTCTTCACAGGTCCCTTGTAATGGTTTCAGTGACATTGAGAACCTTGAGGGACCAGAGATATTTTTTGAGGATGAGCTGGTGTGTATCCTAAATATGGAAGGAAGGTAAGCCAGAACTTTAGCAAAAACTTTGTTTGCTCATTTGTTTTAAAGATAAATTTGTATGTGGGGACCCTGGGACGTGTATCTCAAGGTATTTCATGCCTTGCCATAGTTACGTGTTTTAAAAGGATTGTGTTTGTAAGGAACATATACTGAGACAGTTGATCATTAAAGAAACCTTGCAAAAAAAAGAAACGCTGCAAAAATCCTTTTGGAAAGAAAAGGGAATTAATATTTAGCCCCTACTCCTGGTCAAGTCATGTAGGGGCCTTTGCGTAATATAAATTGTCTTTCCTTTAATGTCAGTGCCAGAGCCTTGGTGGCACTGTGGTTAAGAGCTCAACTGCTAACCAAAATGTTAGTGGTTGTAACCTACTCTGGGGGAGTGGGATGAGGCGGTCTGCTTCCATAAAAATTTACAGCCTTGGAGAACCCTGTGGGGGCAGTTGTACTCTGTTCTCTGGGGTCTGTATGAATTAGAACAGACGTGATGGCAGTGGGTTTGGTTTTTGGTTTTAATGTCAGTGAGAGCCCTGGTGGCGCAGTGGTTAGGCGCTTGGCTGCTAACTGAAAGGTTAGTGGTGCAGACCCACCAGCCACTATGTGGGAGAAAAATGTGACGATTTGCTTCTATAGCGAGTTACAGCCTCAGAAACCCTATGGGGCAGTTATATAAATTGTAATCAACTCAGACAGCAGTAGGTTTTCCTTTAATATCAGCTCTCTACCTATCACATTTACCGGTCATAAATTTAATCTTTTTATTGTGTTTTAAATAATGTCTTAACCATGTTTTAATTTAATGGGTGATTTTTTAAATTTAATTTCTAAATTTTGGTACAAAATAATCTTCCTTTGGCCATGAACATTGTAGCTGTTGGTTTGAGCCTTTCTTTTATCTACCAGTTGGTAGACAGTGCTGCATCAGTACTGTCCTGATTAAGAAGTATCCATTATCTTTTGTCACTTAAAATTGTTTGTGCCTTACACTTCCACTTAATTTACTTTATGCCTCTGCCATGAGGGTTAATTTCCGGGTTACCTGAAAGGTGATCTGGCTTCCAGCTTAGCTTACCTATGAAAAAAGATTTTCTGCTTCAAAAAACTGGAAAACTTTACTAGTGATGGAAGATCATCAGAACACAAGTTTAGCATCTACTTTGAGAGGTTGTTGTATGCTCCTTAAACCTTGAACCACATCTATCCTGAGATTACCTTCTAACAGAAAAGCAGAGTGACAAAAAAATAAAGGTTATTACCCCTTAAATGGGTGCTCTACCTCTGAAAACACCTGCATGAGTCCAGAAAGTCAACATTTAGTTCACAGCAAAGATAAGGTACGGGCAGCGAAACTAGAGTCCTAGAAATGTAAGAGCTAGGATACCAGTGATGAGAATGTGGACACTTGTGACAAATGTAAAAAATGTCATTGATCAGTTTGTAGAGATTGTCAAAGGAGAACCTAACCTGTACAAAGTTTACAATGCAATATTACTGAACAATGTTACTAAAAAATAGTATAAGGATCAGTCTGAAGTACCTCACAGACCAGTTTAAAGTGTTTGTTGTTGTTGTCGTGTAACAAGTATGTAGTGTAACAAGTATGTAGACTAGGGTGGAAAAGCTGGGGGAGAGGTAAGATGTGCCATGTTCTAGGCCTCGGGTGAGATCGGATGCAGAGGTCATTTTTCCATTTCTATTTTGGTTTCTCTCTGAATGAATTGAAGTATGATCTAATAGTATCGTGCAGCCTTAAAAAATGGAAGCTGGCGTGTCCTTGTTACCTATATGCGTATGGACTTTCAGATGCATAAAGGTGGTCATGGGCACGCTGGGTTGTTGGTTGCTTTGGTATTGGTTCGATGTTTAGTGCAGACTCTTGCTTCTTAGGCCCTCTCTTCCTTCCTCCCCACTCTCTCCATTTGCCTTAGCCTCCCTTGCCCCCACCCTTGTAATCTTGATAATAACCTAGCTTGTATTTTTCCATGCTGATGTCCACTGATCTATATGGGAGGAGGAGGGTGTCATTATTTCACAGTTTGAGATCATATAATAGGTATTTCTCTATATCTTTTTTCTTTTCCTCTTTCAACATTAGTTTCTGGAAATCTAATGGACTGGTAACATTTGGATTAGTTTTTATTACTTGCTGCATGCTGTTTGGTGTTACATGCCGGAATTGGTTGAACCATTCCCTGATTGGAGTGTATGCACTTTCTTCCCCATCTTGTGAACAGTAATGTTTCTAAGTAATAGATTCCTGGGAGTGGGTTTCCTAGCAGATAATAGAATGTTATTTAAGAACGTAAATTAATACGTAGCATGTCTTTGAATGGGAAGACTTAGAAATGTTAGTTCTTCCAAAATTAGTATATAAACCAAATGCTGGTACAATTAGGATCCCACTAAGAGGTTTTTTTTTTTGTTTTTTTTATGCGTAAGAGATTTGGTTGGTTTACTTGCATAATATTGTCTTAAAATTCATAAGGAAGAATTAATTTTCAAGAAGAATTGAGAACAAAATTTTTTTTATGGTCCTAGTGGGGAACTTGCATTACTAGATACTAGGACTTATTATAAAGCTCCTGTAATTAGAACAATGCAGTGTTTAAATGAAAATCACCACAGCATTGTCAAAGGATAATTCAGGAACACGTCTCAGAATAAAAGATAATATATTTAAGCTCAGAGAGGAAAAGGTGGATTATTTAATAAAGGGTACTGTGCATAACTGACTGTCCATCTGGAAGAAAGTAAAATTTGTATTGTACACAAGAATTAAACAACTTAAATTTTAAAGTTATCATAATGGAAGTTCCGCAAGGATAGAGTTCATGTACATTCTAGGGGAGGCCACCTTAACACAATGAATAGAACTCTCCTTTCTGAGAAGGAGTAGAAAACTGCAAAGGATAGCAGAATGACATCCAGAAGAGCAGATCTAAGGAGCTGTTGTTGTTAGGTGCCCTCGAGTCTGTTCTAACTCCTGGCACCCCTGTGTACAACAGAAGGAAACACTGCCCGGTCCTGCACCACCCTTCCAGTTGTTGTGTTTGAGCCCATTGTCGCAGCCACGGTGTCAGTCCTCCTCGTTGAGGGTCTTCCTCTTTCACTGAGCCTCTACTTCATCAAGCATGATGTCCTTCTCCAGTCACTGGTCCCTCCTGAGAACGTGTCCAGAGTAGGTGAGATGAAATCTCGCCATCCTCGCTTCTAAGGAGCATTGTGGCTGTACTTCCGAGACAGATTTGTTTGTTCTTCTGGCACTCTGTGGTATATTCAGTATTCTTCACTAATACCATAATTCGTAGGCATCAATTCTTCTTTGCTCTTCCTTATTCATTGTCCAGCTTTTGCACGCTTATGATGAAGTTGAAAGTACTATGGCTTGAGTTAGGTGCACCTTAGTCCTCAAGGTTATCTTTACTTTTTAACACTTTAAGAAGTTTTTTTTGCAGCAGATTGGCCCAGTGCAATATGTTGTTTGATTTCTTGATTGCTGTTTCCATGGATGTTGACTGTGGTCTCAAGTTAATGAAATCTTTGACAACTTCCGTCTTTTCTCTGTTTGTCTTGATGTTGGCTTTTGGTCCAATTGTGAGAATTTTTGTTTTCTTTATGTTGAAGTGTAGTCCCCACTGAAGGCTGTAGTCTTCGATCTTCATCAGTAAGTACTTCAAGTCCTCTTCACTCAGCAAGCAAGATTGTGTCATCTGCTAATCTCAGGTTGTTGATGAGTCTTCCTCCAGTCCTGATGCTGCATTCTTCTTCATATAGTCTGTCTTCTAGGATTATGTGTTAAGCATGCAGATTGAATAAATATGATGAAAGGATACAATCCTGATGCACACCTTTCCTGATTTTAAACCATGAAATATCCACTTGTCCTGTTCTAAGGACTTTCTCTGGCTCTATATACATGCTCTGGAGTCCCCATTCTTCAGGTGGTAGCCAAGTGTAAATTCACTATTGAAAGAAATGGTAAATCAAAAACAACGAAATACTGCTTTTTACCTGTCAGATTGGCACAAAAAGGAAACTGGCTATGCATACCCCAAAATACATCCAGTCCTGATAGAAATAAGTATCATAAATGTGTTACCTTTTGGGAGATTTGGTGGGGTAGTGCCTAAGGCATTTGACTGCTAACCAGAAAGCTGGTGGTTCATACCCACCAACCACTCCTCGGAAGGAAGACTGGGCAATCTACTTCTGTAGAGATACCGCCTCAGAAACCCAAGGAGGGGTTGCTATGAGTCAGATTCAACTTGACGGCAGTGAGGTTTTTTTTTTTTTTTTGAGTTACCCTTTGGCATTACACCACAAAAGTGTTTGTTTTTAATGACAGGAAATGCTCTCATAATTGTAAATCATTTTGGGGTGCCAGTTTACATGAAGGACCCTGTTTATATTCACCACTAGCAAATGCTTGTGTGGATATGGTAAATGTAGAAACACAAATGCTAGTTTCCTTAAATGCTAAAACTCCAGTCTGGGCATATTGGAAAACTTTGCTTTTATTGTGGTCTATGTGGTCTTAAAAAATAGTGCATTCTGCAGTAAAGATTGAAAGGACATATGCTGGACCTGATAAAATTGACCCAAGATGACCCGAACTGAGACATATCCTGGTAAAATGACTAGCTTTTAATCAGCACAGAAAAGCTCTTTGGGCATCCAAGCAAAAAAGATGATATCACTCATAAAGGAAAAAGAATCAGGACTTCATCCAGCTTTTCACCAGCAACGCTCTACGCCAGCGGGAAAAGAAGTAACATATTAAAGGTGCTCAAGGCTCAGAAATGTCAGCCACATATTTTATATCCAGCCAAACTGACTTCCAGCTATAAAGGCCACAGACAAACTTACCAACTTCCACAACCTGGGCAACTCTTGTGGCCCTCCCGAGTGAGCTGTTAGAATATGAGCTTCGAACAACCAAAATAACCAGGGAGATACTGACATAAGTAGTAAGGATTGACATAAATCAAAACCAAACCCAGTGCCATCAAGTCGATTCCTATTTATAGCGACTCCCATTGAGTTTCCAAGGCAGTAAATCTTTATGAACATAGATTGCCCCATCTTCCTTCCGGGGAGTGGCTGGCGGATTTGAGCCACCAGCCTTCTGGTTAGCAGTCAAGTGCCTTAGGCACTGTGCCACCAGGGGGCATTAAATATATATTTACTTTTAGGATTATATGTAAATGAGAGCTATAGGAGAGGCAGTATTGGATGTCTTTGCTGTGGCTCTAATAATTTGATAATCTTTAAACAATTGTTTAAAAAATGAGCAGAGATGAAGGGAAACATATACAAAATATTTAGTTGTTTTCAGAAATCATAAAGATAATGATAATATTGATCTTGTCATTGTGAAATGTGTGCATGTGAGAGACAGATTTGGAATTTGGCAAATGAGCAGTCATGTAATATTCTACGTCTTACCTCTGGTATCCTGGGAGAACCAGCATTCTCCTGGAAGAACAACAATAAAGATATAAAATAGAAGAAGATAAAAATCATATAGTTCTGAATTTAAATTGTATCACTCTGAACCCATGAGATATTTTTCGTTAAATATGATAACCAAACCCATTGCCACCTAATTGATTAGGACTCGTTGACCCCATAGAACAGAGTAGAACTGCCCAATTAGGGTTTCAAGGCTATATTCTTTATGAAAGCAGACTGCCACATCTTTTTCAGAGGAGCTGGTGGGTTTGAACCGCCAACCTTTCTGTTAGAAGTCGAGTGCTAAACTACTACACCATCATACCTCCTTTGAAATATAATACGTGTATAATGTATCTTATAGATATATAGGTATATGTGTGTATATGTGTACATGTATATTAGACTTACTAGCTATGTTCACTGAGAAGGTCTAGAAACAGTAACTGATGGTTAAGGTTATGAGTCAGCTTGTCTAGGCCCTGAGTCTTAGTGGTTTGGCAGTTATGTAATGATGTAGTTTGGCAGTTGTAGTGATATAATCATCCCTTGTGATGTGATCTGATGTAATTATCCTCCATTTGTAATGTGTTGTGAAACCTGACCTCTGTGTTAATGAGTCAGAATTAGGGTGATATGCAACACTCTTACTCAGGTCACAGCCCTGATCCAATGTAAGAGTAGTTCCCTGGGATGTAACCTGCATCACTTTTTATCTTACGAAAAATCAAAGGAGAGCAAAGCAGGCAGAGGGAGGGACGTGACTACCAGCAAGAAAGAAGAGCCCAGAGCAGAGCACATCCTTCGGATCCAGGATTCCCACTGAGAACCTCCCAGACCCAGGGCAAGATGGAAGCCAAAACACAAGTAGATTTCCAAGGAACCTTATACAAATATTTCAGCTAATGAATGGAGAAGGAATGGTTTATTTAGAATATCACCACTTTGTAACCAATTAGGCAAGGAGTAGCAATGGCTGCTAACTACAAAAAGAGACAATCGGGCATGATTGCCTCCTGGTGGAAGGGCACACTACCACCTGTGAAGTCCTCTTCCCACATGTCTCTGGTCTGGATCTGATCAAGCCTTTACATCCAATTTACATCCAATTTCAGAAGACAGGGATATGTTCAACTCCATACGTGGATGCAATCAGCAGTTCCAAACTCTGGGAAACTACAGGTCAAACCACCTGGTTTCCTCAACAAATGCAGTGCAAGGGGAAAAGAGCAAGACCGAGGGATCCTGGAGACTGAACGTGAGAAAAACAGTGAGGGAAAGTAGTCTCAAGTGTCTAGGGCTACACATTCGGTGATAAAGCAATAAAGAAATGCAGGGAAGTGATTACTGTAGGCGTGTGGGTTATGGTTACTGTAGAGGAGGTCGGGAGGGGCGCACAGAGGGCTTCTGGAATGACTGCCAGTATTCTTATACCTTCCTGAAGAATGGAATTCTATATGAAATCAGGCAGATCAGTTACTGTCTCCCTCCTCCTTCTCATAATCCCTTTGCATTTTGGGAGATCTAGGAAGAGATTCCATTCACTCAGTAAGCATTTATTGAGCACCTGTTGTGGGCCAGAACCAGGCCCTGAAGATCCGTTAGTGACCAGTCCAAAAACCTTCCCTTGTGGAGCTTACATTCTGTGGGAGAGATAGACATCTATTACGTTAGAAAATTATAAATGGTATAGAGAAATAATAGTAACCAGGGAAGGGGGCAAGGGAGTGGGGGGGACATTGAGATGAAACCTCAAAATGGTCTTTTAGAAGTCACCATTCGGTCTTAGGCCTTTACTTTGATCTGAGTAGAAAGCCCCTGGAGAATTGGAAGCAGAGGGGAGTTGTGACTGGCAGAGCATGTTACCTAGTGCACTCTGGCTGCCATATTGAGAAGAGATTATGTGGGGCAAGGTCTGAAGCAGGGAGCCCAGTTAGGAGGATGTTATAATACTGACAGAAGATGATGGTGGTTTGGTTGAAGACAGTAGGGTGCTGAGAAGTGTTCATATTTTGGATATATTTTGAAGGTGGAGCTAATAGGCTTGGCTGATGGAGTGAATGTGGGTTCTAAGAGAAAGCAGGGAGTCAAGGCTGAGGCCTAATAGAATAATAGAGTTGCCTTTGTCTGAGATGGGGGTGACTGTGGGAAGGGGGGGTTTAAGAATATCCCAGATGCCTAAGTGGGATGTGGACTAGCAGCTGGATATGCAAGTTTGCAGTGCAGGGGAGAATCTGGTCTGGAGAATGAATTGGAGCTTGTCTATACGGATAACACTTGAAACTACGAGAATAGGGGAGATTAGCATGGCATGCAGTGTGGAAGGAGGAGAGAAGAGGCACAAGGCCTGAGTTCCCCAAGGACCAAAAGAACCAGCATAGGATTTGAAACACCTTATTCCATCTCCTGAAATTCACCTGGCTCACCTGACTTTTCAGACTTCTCTTTCATTTCCTTATCCCGAAACCCAGCCCGTTGCCATCAAGTCTGTCTGACTCATCAGTTCTATAGGACAGACCAGAACTGCCCCAGAGGCTTTCCTAGGCTGTAAATCTGTACAGAAGCAGGTTGCCACATCTTTCCTCCGTGACAGTTTTATTCCTGGTGGTTTCAAACCACCAACCTTTCAGTTAGCAACTAAACACTTGACCATTGTGTCACCACTCTCGTTACCTGCTTGTATGTTCTTATGTGCCGTGGAGTTGATTCAAAGTCAGCGACCGCATGTGGCAGGGTAGAGCTGCTCCATGGTTTCTAGGACTGCAGTCTTTATTTATTTATTTATTCATTTATATTAAGGGTTTGTTTTACATTCAACGTTACGTGTACATTTAGTTTCACTCCCCATTTACCATGTCCAACCCTAACCCAGTCTCCTCCCCTCTGCCTGTGCCCCTCATAGTTATGCACTCCTGTTTGTCCTGCGTTTCCTCCCTGTGAATGTTGCCCCTCTGGTGCCCTATGGTCTATTGCTCTAAGGGATGTATTTTCATAGAGTATGTGGATATGTCATCCTGGGTTGAGTGGTCTGCATGTACATCTTGTTAACTCTTGGGCTGAGAGCCCGCCCCTGGGAGTGAGTTTGTGCAGAATGTATTCTAGGGCC